CAGTTTTGTTTCTTTCAAAGCTTGCTTTAAGCTTTGTAAGATAAAATCAGAACAGCTTTTGGTCTTGGGCTGATGATTTGCCACTTCTGAGGCAATACCTTTGTGAGTACTCTACCTGTTGTATTTATAAAGGTTTTCATTTTGGCTGATAGGGCCATGAACTGTTCCTGGTTCTTTGTGATCATTGGGGGTTGGCCCATCTCACCCTTTCAGATGGTGCTTTTCCCAGCCTCGGGTAGGTGGTTTGTTGACACGGCTGTAGTGATTCAGCACTCGGCTGAAGACTCAGAGAATCGTCGGTAGACCTCCAGCTCTCTCTGTGAAACCCTCTCCCCTCCCGTACTCTGCCCGGGCCGCTTTGGCCTCCCTGAATTCTAATTCTCTCTTCAATTTAAGGAATCTGCTGGGCTTCTTGGGGGATCCCCCTGGCCCTGTGGCCTGAAAAGTCTCTGCAGGCAGTAAGCTGAGGCAGTCATTGGGCTGACCTCATTTGTTTCCCCTCGGGCAGGGGTCGGTGTCCTGTACTGCCTTTTGTACAGTGTCTGAACTATGTATTTTATATATTTTGTCTGGTTTTTAAATTGTTTAAGGTGTGAAAGATGTAGTGAAGCGCATGTGAAATTGTACACTACAGATTAGTAAGTAAACACAGTTAAGCCCATGCGTACCTTGCTTACTGGTTAATCCGCCCCTCAATACAGAAGTTAGTTTTATTTAGCAAATTAGCATAGTTGAAAGTATCTGTTGTGTTTTGTAGTCTCTTTCTGATAGTTTTCAGTTGGGTGTAAAAATGGTTTTCTTATTCCAAGTAGTTCTTCTCCAAGATGAGCCTGTGCCGTACTCGTTTTCTTACAAAATAGGCATTTTTAGGTGCTGGGAAAGCAATATAATTGGGAGTGTGATTAGGAATGATGAATCTTTTCTGTTATCTGTATAGCAGCATTTGGGAGGGTTTCTTGTATATTCTTTCTCCTAAGCAAAGAGCTGGCACAAAGATAAAAGCTCTAATTGTGAGCAGTGAATAGATTTATTCATTTTAAAAACATTAAGTGCCCTTAAATGTGTCAGAAAAATTTCTGGGGATAAAACCTTGAACAAGGCAAAAATCCCTGCCCTCATGGAGTCTCCATCCTCTTGTGAAAACAGGTAATACAGATCAGACAGTGACAAGGGCTGTGGAGCGGGGTGAGGCGGTAAGGGGGCCAGGATGGGAAGTGCCAGAAATGAGAATAGGAAGGAACTTGCTTTGACAGCTCTTTGGAATTTGGGAAAGGCCCTGGATTCCTGACGGTTAAAGAGCCTTTATTTCAGTCGGCTCCGTCTGCCCCAGCTCTGGGTTCCGTTTTCCAATCTCACAGTTTTTCCACCAGTTTGTTCTCTTGTTCCTGGAGCTTCAACTCATGTGTATTTGTTGACTATTTTCAGTATAGAAACACGTTTCAAATCTTTCTCTTCTTTTAAACATTGGAAACAAAACAAAAAACCTTTTTGCCTTGTATGCCTTGGTTAATAATCTCTGTTATTTCACAGCCACAGTTCTGGAAAGCGTATTCTGCACTCATTGTTTCCACTTTATATTTTTCGTTAGCTCTTTAATCATTCTAGTCTGACCTCTGCTTTCACACCGCTGAAAACTGGCCTTGTTAAGTGAACTAGGCCCCACAGTGACACCAAAGTACCAAATTCAGTGCTCACCTTGCAGCTTCCCTCTTGACTCCTTTGGCAGTAGATGCTGTCTGATCACACTGCCAAGCACGCTGCATGTTAA